TCCTGGGTACCCCAATTCGGAGAAGCGCAGTCTCCCCCTTGGTCGATTTTTGTCGGCCTGCGGCGCTCGGGGCCCTTGGTATGACTAATTTGCCTGTCTTCGCGCGCGCTCCCGCACAGTGATCGCAAGTCTCCTGCTCGCTTTTCCGCAACAAAAGCTCGGACAAGACTCGACGCAACAAAAACTGGTGAGAGGGGGATTCGAACCCCCGCCCTTTCGGACTAGATGAGGCGCAGGAACCTGATTCTAGCGCCTTGGACCGCTCGGCCATCTCACCTGTGAAATGTTATTTTTTGTGCCTGCAACGGGCCCTGGAGTATCGAATAGTAAGTTGCATTACTGAGCGATCGTTTCATATCGATGTAAGAGCCGAGGAGGTTGCGCGAGAGAGGTAGGAATGAACGGAGAAGGGACGAACGGAGACCCCCTCGCCGACGGAGTGGAAGCTGTGAGCAGTGGTGAGCAATGGACGATGGTGACTTTGTTTCGAGCGGGGGAAGATCGCTCAAGATGACTGTCAGACATATAGGCATCAGAGGCTGAAGGACAGAATTTGCTAAGGCAGTAAGTTAGGTAAAAGATACTCACAGCAGGAAGTCGGGACGAACAGGAGAGCCGACATGGTGAAAATTTGAAGTACAACCCTTGCTGGTCCTCCGATGGGAGGTCATCTAAGGCGTTCGGCGCGTTCATATGAGAGTGGATGTCACAAGACAGAAAAAACCCGTGATCGGGGATAACCTAAGGATGAGAAGTTTCAAAAATGTCGGAAAGTAGTTACTGGCGTCTTACTCGGCGAGCTCATCTTAAACTGTAAACTCTACCTTGGACTCGTTTGGGTTCGCGGGGCAATTCTGTACCGCGGTTTCTGAGGGTCGATGATACGGTATCAGATCGCCGTATACCGACAATATTTGTAGGTAGAACATACGCTTGACACGCTAAGGCTCGGATGGTCCGCCCAACTGTTGTCGTCATCCCATAAAGATGATCAGTGTGGCTGAGGAGTGTCATTAGTGGAGCGTCAGACGCGTCATTATTCAAGTGTTATTATATGACAGATACTTACTCACTGTCCTGGCCATGGCATGAGCGGCAGGTCACGAAGCAACCATAGACTCTGCCACCTCCATGGGGATACTCACAGAGGCGGATTGTTACTGGAGTCGTTGGCTTAGTAAATTGCCTCAACTGATAGGCTGAACAGACCTGCCGTTGGTCGGGAAGGAAAGGCTGGCCTCGGCAAACCAGCGGAACCAGAACTTCGCGTCGCGATTCAGGATAAATCGCGGTCAGGTGACAGCGTTACGTGATTTGTTTGAGTCACCGAACAAATTAGCGGTCTGGCAGAGCTAGAAACCTTCTCGAGCCCGCTGTATTTTCAACAATGAGTTTGGACTCGATGTACTATTGAAAAGGGTTGAATGGATTGTGCACAACGCGAGGATGGTGACGACGCGCGCGTGCAGCCGCGACGCGTTTGTTTATTTGGTCACTGATGAACACGACGAGGCGGGCACGCGCCTTCTTGCCGACTCCAGCCACCGTCCGCATTTCTCTCGTCTCTACCACCACCTTCTTCACCTCCTCTCCTCATCCTCACTGCCTTGGAGGTCATCTCCAGGCAAGATTACTACATCATACCATTCCAATGGCGACCCTCCAGCGTCGCCCACTCAATCCGCGCACTGTGCCCCAGCTTCCCGTTGCGGTATCCCCTCTCGAGATGAAGGGCAGATCCACACCGATGGCCCTCAGGAAGCGTTCGCGCTCTCCAGACACCCCCCATGAATCTCAGGCTCTGGCAGCCAAGCGTGTGCGCGCGTCGCGTGAGTCGCCGGCCGTCGTCGCCGACGATGAGAAGGAGCGGCGCCGCGCCGAGCGTGAGGCCCAGAAGGAGGAGTTCAGGGTCAAGTATACCCGTGCCTTCCCGTCATGGACGTTCTACTTCGACTGGGACTTCTGCGACGTTGATGACGACACGAGGAAAAGGGTTCTCGCCAGGGTGCAGCAAATGGGCTCGGTGAATACCTTTCCACATCGTCACTAGGAACTCCTATCTCACTGTCCTGCGTAGCATGTCGAAGGTTTCTTCTCCAACGAAGTTACACATTTCATCACGAACCAGTCGTTACCCTCGGACGAGCTTGGTGCCAACAAGGAGAATGTAGCCAAGTCTAGAGCGGGAAGCTCAAGAGCACCGTCGATCCTGAAAAGTCCAATACGACTTAAAGGCCGGTTCGTATCGACTTGACCGTAGATCCCGTGTCGAGGCTGATCATGTGCAACAGTGGTCAGGATGAAGTGCCTGCTACCGGCGGGGACATACTCGTGAAGAAGGCTATGGCTTTCAACATGAAGATATGGACCGTGTCGAAGCTTGAGAGCGTGCTCGATCGCTGCCAAGCTTCGGTCACACCTGCGTCCTCAAGAGTGGGTGTGACACCCGCCCCCGCGACTGGCGGACAACGATCCCTCTCTCGTCTACTGGAGTCTGAACGCATCCACGGCACCTCGGAACGCGACCCCACCCAGAAACGTCACGACTATCAATACTTCACGAAAGGCAGCTACTTCGTGCTTGTCGAGGACATGCGCCAGGAACTAGCCACTATCCACGCTCTCGAGTACCCCGTGAGCAGGACTCGGGACGGGCGGGAGGAGGGCACTTGGCCTGTCTTGCACTGTCACCCCAAAGCTCGGGGGCCATTTGTCGAGTACGATGAGAAGGAGGCCAAGCGGGCACGCAAGAGCGAGTGGCAGGAACAGGAGCGCTTGGAAGAACGAAAGCGGATTGACGCAAAGCTGCGCGAACGCCAGCGTCGTCGGAAGGAGAGGGAGCAAGCGGAGCGTGCGCAGAGTGGCGGTGACCTCCGTCGCACCGTCTCCATGGTCAACCTCAAGCGGCGCCTCTCCGGTGCCGAAGGCGTTATCGACCTGGATGCCGAGGTTGGCGAGATGGAGTCCGCGAACGCGTCGGGGTATCTCGCATCTGGAACGTATATGGCGGCTTCGGGGAACAGCGTCGCGATCACGTCCAACACGGGAAATACGTCTAACGCTAGTGCTCATGCACGCGCGATGCAGCTCCCCGCAAGCCTCCGTGGTCGCCTGCAGCAGCAAGTCGTCACTTCGCGCAGGGTCTCCGTCCTGTCGGCCAGCGTGAAAGGCAAGGAGCGCGAGAAGAAGGGCGACATGGGCCCACCGCCTGGGCCGCCGGAGAAGCATGTGCTCTTGCGCAAGAGCAAGAGCACAAACACGCTGCGTCTGCCGAAGCGTGAGGAGGGCAGCAAGCCAGGCTATTGCGAGTGCTGCCGTACCAAGTTCCCGGACTTCAACGAGGTGCGTGTCTTCCCTGCGCGTAGTTTCATGCTGTTATCTGACGCGTACATGAATGTCTGCTTGTCTGCCTGCATCTTTTCTTTCCGTCCTTCTTGGGGATGTAGCACATCATGCACAGGAAACATCGCAAGTTCGCCGCGGACGACTCGAATTTCCTGCAGCTCGATTATGTGCTCGCGCGTGTGCGGAGGCAGACGAAGGAGGAGGTCGCAGAAGCGGAGGCGGACGAGCGCGCGGCTCGTGCGCGGTCGAGCAGTTTCCTGAACGATACGTCGCCGCAGTCCGATGGCAACACGATCATGGAGGACCAGCACCAGCAGCACTTCACGTCGAGCGCCAGCGAGGTGTCCGGGTACTTGCCCCCGCCGCGGGACGACCTCGTGGAAGCGGATGACGACTCGGACATCGAAGTGGAAGCTCCGGAGGAGGATGTTGAGGAAGACATCGACTTGGATGCGGAAGGCGAGGACGACGTCGAGGAAGAGCTGTAGTTTCCCAGGATCTCTTCTAGCTTGCACACATTGTTCCATTTCTCTTGCTTCACTTCTTTTTGCGTCTCTCGTTGCACAGTGCAGTATGCCCCCGTTGTCAGGCGCTAGTGTAGGTAGGTCCACATATTCTCGATTCATTTTCACATCGGTTGCACTGTATAATACATAGGCACAAGTATAGTCATGGGTGCGATGGACATATATCCTGTAGGCGGAACACAATGCATATCCCTCCACATTGGATTTCTTCGTCGAACTGTCGTTGCGTTGGTCTCATTTGGCCCTCTGGATCCGCTTGCAAGAAAAAGGTATTGTTGTCAAGAAGCTACAGCAATACATCAATGCGACAGAACAAAGAGGGTATGAATGGTCGTGACGGTCGTGACAGTGGTATATACAATCCAAAACACGTCATGATAACGATTGAATCAATAACAATAACCTGCAAAGCGGGGGTATCAAATGAGAAAGCTTAAACGATGGTCACTGTCAAAAGGGTAACGATGCCGTCCTGAGCGATGCCTGCGCCACTAGTGAGATAGGATGTGACTATGGGTCCACTTGGAAACGTACCGTGGTTAACGCCGTTGTCACCAGGGGCGATAAGACCAGTGATGTTCTGCGCGACTGTCGAGTAGGAGACACCACCATAGTTGGTGTTGCCAATGGCGGCAGCGACAAGTGCATTGCTAGAAGCAGGTAAAGTTCAGGACAATGTGAAGGTTCAACGTCGAATTGAATTCTCACCGCCCGACGTTGTAGCCATCAGCCGAGATCGTGTGACCCTCGCTGACGTTCTGTGTGCAAACAGGGTCATTCTCGGCTACAGAACACACACATGGTTCGGGGCACTTTACCTCCTCCTGGGAAACACTGCGACGTGGGTGAGCACCCTGGGGTTATATATACAAACGATCGGCGACGACTTACGCGAGGAACAGGGCGCCACTGTTGGCAGATGGTCCGTTCTGGCGGAAGACCCTGGGAAGCAGATCGCCAGTTGCTGTGAACACAGGTGAACGGATAGCAGGATGTGTGGCGCACCTGAAGTGGTTTCCCCCAATGAGAGACTCAAGGCAGGTGCCTTCATCGGCATCACCGTAGTCCTGACGGAGTTCGATCGTCTGGTTCACCGCGCCATGACCATCACCGAGGTTGGCAGACTGGGGATCGCCAAGGTGGATACCAAAGCACTCCTCGGAGCTGAGACGAGACGCATAAGCGATTCTGCTCAATGGCGCTGTTGATGGTATGGGCTTACAAGCCGACGGCACGTGCGAAGTTGACGATCCCATCGTCAGTGAGTACGTCGGGCGAGCTCAAACCGGACACAATGACCTGAGAGTTATCAGATAAAGGCTTATATTGGACCGTGTCAAGTACCACGAACGTTCAAGGGCTCGCCAAGGCCGTTACCTGCGTTATCAAGGAGAGAGCCGCCACC